AGAGAGACGTGTGACATATGTTGGTCTCTACATAATTCAGATTTAAGGCCGAAATTCGCTCTGAAGATTCTCTTTGACACAAGTTGGTTGTGCTTTAATAAAAATGTTTTTGAGACTCCAACTGACTTTATTTTGAACACCACTGTAATTTCTGATGTATGCATTTTCGCACATAAGAGAATCCGTTTTATGTAATATGAGGTCGACTATAGGATCTGGTAAATGGGGAATGAAAATATTTTTATGGACAATTATTTTTATAATATTTGTCTTATGTGTAGATTGTTTGTTGCACGGTGTACTTAACGAGTCACTTCTTAGTATTAGGACCTGTTTATGTGTATGAAAGAAAATCACCCATTCCAAGCGCATTATTCTAATTATTGTTTTTTATATTATTTACCCGAAATCCAAAATTCAGAAAATAATATAGAATTTTTGTGTTTCATTCACATTTTTTTCCTAATATATATTTAAACACATTCAAGACGGCCTCTTCCATAGGTTGATACGGAAATGAATGTTAGGGAAACGCGCCATTTCAGGTGAGTTTTTCAAAATCTCAGTTTTCTTACTTATATACAACATAATATTGTTGAAATTGTGTTTCGTATTCAACCGACAAAGGGAAATCTTTAGTAAATTTCCCCCAATTTTTATCCTCCTCATTGACTGTTTTATGCAAATTTCTTTAAATGATAAAAAAAGTCCCGAAATTTCCAATGTTATGTAACGCGGAGTAACAAATGCAATTAAAAAAATCGTATACTTGATTGCAGACTAGCTTCAATTGTTTGAGCACAATTATCATAGACACAAAATTAGAAAAGTGTCCTTGAGACAATAACAAAATTTTATTATCCACTGCAATTCGTTCTCACAAGAATAATAACAACAAGATTTGAATGCTACAATCCAAGAACCAGTCTGACCGTCTGGGTTTTCAGACAGTTCAATAAATTTTTAATTTTTGCCAAAATGCATTGTTTGAATTAAATATTAATATGTTTTGTTAGCTAAGGCACGTTTTAGGACCACTTTCTCCGTTCACCACTAAATTAGGATTGAAGTTAAACAGAACAATTAAGAATTGGAATGATTTTCAATCACTGATACTTAATTTTGAATATGAATTATGAAAGGAATTGAATTTTTTTTGTGACCAAAACATATATATGTTTCAAAATTCTAATCTTTTCCGATTTCGTATTTATTACAATTTTCTAAATGATACCACAAAAAAATAAAAACTTGTCTTAAAAGCCAAATTACACGAGCCAAAATTTGAACTTAAATATCGAATAACAAAACCCCTTTGGAAAATGTAGAAATACTGTCCGATGTTGATCAATTTTAGCACATTCCAAGATGTATGCCCTTAGCCTATGCCAGTTTATTAAAATATATTTTGACTTACTTTATGGTTATTCAAACTGTTGAACCATTTCTAAGGAATGGTCCAAAATTATACAATTTTTTCTAAACTAACGGTGATATAAATATTACAGATAGCTTGATTTAGAATATATTGACCATTTTCTTCGCTCTATGCGAGAAATGTGATAAATTTTGGAAAATGTTGAAAAATGCGTGCAGTACATGATATAGTGGAATTGTTCCACTTCATCTAATATTAGGATGTGCAAAATTTTTAGTTAATCTAAAATTTAACATTTTTTGGGGGAGGTACGATAAATATCATACTTACGTCAGATCCCTGGTTTAGAGAAATATTTGAATAGACTTGTTTCGCAAGTTACGGAGATATAAGTATGTATTTAAAATTGAGAACCTTTGTGGGGGAGGTACCAGAAGGGGTGGACCGATATTTATCATCTTCACGCCAGATCTTGTGATAATACAAATATTGCGATGTGTGAAATTCGAGGAGAATCGGTTACTTACTTCACATTTTATGAGAGTTACAATTATTAAAAATTTCGATCCTTTGTGGGGGAACTACATGATGGAGTGGGACGATATTATCCATCTTCACAGCTTATCTTGTGTTAGTAGAAATATTGAGATGTGGTGAGTTTGAAAGTGATCGAATGCTCAATTCGAGTTGTATGAGCTTAATGTTGTAAATAATGTTTATGAAAAAATGTTGACCCGTTGTGAGGGAGGTTCCAGAAGCGTGGTTCGATATCTACCATCTTCACACCAGATCCTGGGTTATCACAAATGTTGGGATGTATGAAATTTGAGGAGAATTTGATGTTTATTTCGCATTTTATTTGGGTATATACTTATTCCAAATTTTGACCTGTTGTGGGGGAGGGATATGATGCAGTGGGCCGATATAGTCCATTTTCGCACCTGACATAGCACTGATACAAATATTGAAATTTACAAAGTTTGCATAAATTTGATGATCTTTTTTTTTCTAAACGCTATATAGTTATACCCTCAGTCATATGGCTATGGATATCAACATGTGCCTAGGTTTCTGTGAAAATGTTGAACTTTTGTGAGGAAGGTACCAGAAGAAGTGAACCGATATTGCCCGTCTCCGAACTCGATTTAAGTTTGACAATAATATTACGATGTACCAAGTTTGGATCAAATCGGATATTCCAGCCAGATGGACAGACATCGACTCCAAATATCCTGAAATGGATTTGATCCAAAGAGGCACGTCTGTAGCCTCATGACCGATGGTATAAAAAAAACATAAAAAAATGGGAGGTTTAGTGAAGGGTGTACCCAATACACGGGCAAAAATGGTCAACTCATTGTACCTACCCACAAATGTACCCCATTCATATAGACTATGCTTACAACGTAATTATATTTATATTAGACTTAGATCAGTAGAGAACTTAGAATGACGTAGAAGTATTAAAAATATCATTAAGTTGGCGGTACCGTTTATGGGGCTGCACAAAAATGATATGCTACAGAAGGAAACTATTGAGGGTTTCAAATACCAAAATTGAAGCTATTTTGTTGAAAAAGTGGATAAAATCAGCAGAAGGCAGATAAAATCAGCAGAATGCAGAATATCGGGAGGTGGTGTCATATATGCGCTATAGAAAAACGTGACAATGCTCTGACACATGAGGTATAATAAATTACGAATTTAAAACAAATACCTTTGATATTTTTGATAAAGTGTCAAAATATCGAATATCGGGAGGTGCCATTATATAGCCCCTCCTATATTGGTCTGACATGGTCCATTTAAAAACGTTACTGTAATGTGCACAAAATGTTAGCTTCTATTTAAATATTGGAAAATAGACGAGTTTGAATTCATCAAAGAAATCGCTTGGTCTACCAATGCGAGAACATGTCAGGTTGAGCTGACAATGAGAAATGCAGGAACATTCCAATTTTATTCCGCATACACGAAGAGTTTGTCCTTGGGATTTATTAATTGTCAATTTTATTAATTCTTAATAAAATAAAATCAAATTCTGCACCGATTTCAATATAATTTGACAACATGTATTTTTATACCAAATGTAAATATGATCCGATTTCGATATAATTTGATGAATTATTTTGTATTCCGTCACTTATTCCGAATTTCATTAGAATCGCACATACATATCGTGTTTGGTCCATCAAATACACGAAATCGACCTAATATATATGTGACAGCTATATCCAAATCTGAACCGATTTCAATTTAATTTGGTAAATTTATTTTTGTACCAAATTCCATTATACATTCCAAATTTGAAGACTGTATCTATAACCGATCAATAGATATGTGCATACAAAAACTAAATTTGTTCGATGTACCCCCGATTCTGATGGTATATCTCCAGTTACAAGTGGAATTTTAAAAATTTATGTAGCCTATGTTACTTTCAGGCGACACTGTAGTATATGTGTAAAGTTTCAGGAAAATCTGCTCAGCAGTTTTTGAGTCTATAAATTACAAACAAACAATCAAACGTACAAACATTTTCCTATTTTATAGATATAAAGAAGATGTGCGAACGTATTCTGGTAACAAAAATATTTTTTTATAAAATGTCATTTTATTTGTTGTTCCCTTAAGCAATTCAATTCGCAATCCATTGATATTATATAATTCTGATAGTCTCATGAGATCGTTTGTTTTTTTTTTTTTTGCAGTGTAATGACTTTAATTAAACACAATCTGAAACCCTGCAAACAATAACAAAATAATTAATTTTTGTTAGCTTCTCGGAAATCCAGTTTGTGTTTGTTGTCAAGTATTGCCAAAAAACAAAAATGAATGCAAATCATTGGAAATTATTACCGCAAATGCTTGCCTTTCGAAACAAATAAAGATGGCTAATTGAAGGCAAAAGTTCAAAGTTTTACTAATTGGAGATCCAGTTACGGCAATAAATGTTTGGAGTCTGTTATTATTGACAAACGTTTGTGAAGAACGTGCAAAGTTTTTTTTTTTTTAATTTCAGTGAACTTTTACATTTTTACTACCTTTTTTAAATATATACTAAATATGCACTTCATTCCAAAAATAAAAAAATAATTAGTTAATAATAGTTCTTCCAAAAATATCAAACACGTATGGGCATCAAATGTTGGACCATAAACTGTAAAGACTTCCACAAGAAGTTCACTGTTGTTTAATTTATATTTCCTTAGGCGGACGTGAGTGGTAGCAGGTTTACCCCATTTCATTTGGTTGTAGTCAAGTCGATATTTCAGCTTAACGGCAGTACACAGCCAGTGTAGCGTCTAAACCAGTCTTTATTAAGCCGACAGACACAATAAATTTTGTTATATGACAATATGACGATAAACAGCATAAGAAAATAAGTGCGAGCAAACGACAGACTGCAAGAGGCAGAGATTTGTACTCGATTTGCACTGAAACGAACGAGCGCAGGAATGTTGGTTGCAACGTTAATAAAGTTTGAATCAATCGCCAGGCCAGCGAGACAGCCCAGGTGTTTGCTGAGTGAATTTTGCATCTCATTAGAATGAAACGATGTTACGAGTGTTACGCGCCGAAGCACTGTTCGCTGGGGACTATTTAAGCCAGGCGCTCGTTAACTGAGAGCATTAGTTGTGATTCAAAATTCTCCAAAGAAAGTTGTAAAACAACAGCAGCGGCAGTAACATTTCAATACACCTTTTGGTCTTAACAATCAAATCAAAAAAACCTCAACAACCAATACCAGTGCCAAGGATATCTAATTGACACGAATAACCCAAAACGGATTACTGCTGTAACACATTTCGGATTACTTTTGGATTACCTGTCAACCAATCGACCACAACTGTTTGTCGATTTCTATTTCACATATGTTAAACTTCAAAACGATTGGTGTCAATGTTTAGACCCCTAGCAAGGAAGTCACTTAAACTACGGTGAGTTGGGTGGCCTGGATCATGAAAAGGAGAGAAGAAGAAATAATTCATTTAATCAACAAATACCGATTGTGGACTACCACTTTCTCTTCAACTTCGATTTAAATTATTCCTAAATTTTTATTCACCTGACTGATTTTGTTTGCCTTTCTTTTCTTACAGTTTAACTAAGGATCTCGCAAACCATCCCGGCTCTCGGACAGGCAATTCGGCTAATGGTCTAGAACTTAAAGTACTCACCCATATCAAGTACGTTCCATGAAACTGGTTTCATTCCGACGTTAAATCAACTGGACTGAACTGTTAACAATCAACCCACGGCTGAACACTTTGTTTTTTTGAAAAGAAAAATACCTGAATTACGAAAAACCCCCCTCTCTTTTTTGAACAAAAAGTTACCAACACAAACAACAACAACAGCAAAATGGTTTACACTAATCGCACTGAGAAATGCATCTCCTCTCAAGACAATCCCGGAGTAAAGGCTTCTGCCAATGCCAACTCCAAATACCAAAGCTCGTGCGTTCCCAGCTACAGCAGCGGTAGTACCAGCGGCAACAAGTCAACAAACAACGCTTGGTCGAAGAATGCCTCGGAGGCGGATAAATGGAAGTACAATAATATGGTGCGTGAGAATCGTGATAAATTCAACAGCATGCATTTTGTTAGTTTTTAAGGAGTTCTCATTCCATTCCATAAAGAAGAAGAAGAAGAAGAAGAAGAAGAAGAAGAAGAAAAAGATTGCCTTGTCACATTCATTTTTTGCATTTAGTTAGCGAGAAGCCTAGAATAGATCCTTAGTAGCGTAGTTTTATAATTGTTTTTATTTTTATTGTTTTCTTTAAAGAGCTGTCATTCGTGGAAAGTTTGTAGTATTATCTTGGCATTTTAAAAATGTTCCATTTATTGTTATTTTTTCAAAATTTTCAAAAATAATAAAGCTCTAATTTTATAAAAAAAATTGTTTTTTTTGAGTAAAAGTATTTTTTTTTTCTTTTTTGAATTTCCATATATTGTAATTGTTACAAAGAAATCTCGACACACATACATATGGTGTATTGCTCACAAATATATGGATATTTTAAAATTACACATGTAAACAATTTCGAAACCGGTTTCATTGAAATAAGCTTTTAAAAAGCAACATTTATTTTTTAAAACATTAAAGTTGGAAAATATCAATTGGCTTGCCGCCATATTTTTACCCCCACCCCCAACATGAGAACAATAAAAAAACGTATTTTTTTCCAAAAAACATTAAAAAATAAAAAAATAAGTTCCGTTACATGGTGGTTATAACTCGCAAACCAATTTTTTTACCCTCAGCCATATGGCTACAGAGGGTATATATCATTTGATACGGTCAGAAGGTGCCTAATCGAAATAAGGGGTTTAGACTCTGGGTCTCTTTAGACCAAATCCGTTTAGGACATTTGGGGTCGGTCTAGCGATGTCCGTCCATCCGCCTGTCAGGCTGGAAGGAAGTATCCGATTCGGTCCAAACATGGTACATCGTAATATTATTATCAAACTTAGATCGAGTTCGGAGATGGGCAATATCACTCCACTCCTTCTGGAAGCTCCCCACAAAAGGTCGAAATTTCCAAAAAAAAAAATACAAGTTAAATAGTATCTGTAGGTTTTGCCGACAAATTTATACCCTCAGCCAATGTACGATTATTTAAAAATATTTTGACTTCTGTTATGATTATGGTTCTAAATAAATATGATATAAATATTGCAACGTGCCAGGTACCTCTCCCACAAAGAGTCCGACTGTCTTCAAATTTTACACATCTCAATAATTATATTAACCGTGGTGTGAAAATAAAATTTATTGGTCCACTTGGTACCTCTCACCCTTCCACACAAAATGTCGAAATTTTAAAAAAATATATTTTCTGCACAGAAAGAAAAAAGATAATCCGATTTTGCTTCAACTTTGCAAATCCTAATAATTTCATTAGTGCTACATCAGGTGCGAGAATGGACAATGTCGGTCCACTCCATCAAGAACCTCTCCCACAACTGTTACAAAATGTGATGTAATAGTCCGATTGTCTTAAAATTTCACACATCCCAATATTTTTATGAACCCAAGGTGTGGTGTCAAGATCGAATATATCGGTCCATTCCTTCTGGTGCATCCGCCACAAAAGGTCAAAATTTTCAAAAAAAAAAAAAAAAAAATTGCACAGAATGAGAAACGATAATCCGATTTAGCTCCAAATTTGCAAATCCTAATTTTTCTATTATTGCTACAATATCGGTCCACTCCATCAAGTACCTCTCCCACAAAGAGTCAAAATTTTGAATAATTACAACTCCTATAAAATTTGATTTAAGTTTCCGATTGTCTTCAACTTTCAAACATCGCAATAATTGTATTAACCCAAGGTCTGGTGCCAAGATGGAATACATTGGTCCACTCAAAATCCGACTTTGCTCCAACTTTGCAAATCCTAATATTTGCGTCAGTTCTAATAATATCGGTCCACTCCATCAAGTCCTTCTGGTACTTCCCACAAAAAGGGTCAAATTTTTCAATAACCAAAACGTTTATAAAATCCGAAATAAGCATCAGGTACTCTTCATATTTCACACATTCCATTATTTTCACTAACAAAATATCTCTTGTGAAGATGGGATATATCGGTCCACTCCTTCTGCTACCTCCCCCACAAAGGCTCAAAGAAACCGAAATAAACATCCAACTCTCCTCAAATTTCACAAATACAAACATTTTTGCTAATACAATATCTGTTGTGAAGATGATATATATCTGTGAACATCATTCTGGTACCTCATTCACAAAGGGTCACAATTTTTAAAATATGATATAAAGTTTCAAGTAAATGACTATGATCTGACCAGGGTAAATGACTTTCATAACACATATTAATATTTGTGATGCAAATCTATGTTATCTACATCTCTTATGTCAAAGCCCCCAGAAAATGTTTGTGGCAGATAAGGTATATCTAAAAAACGCCGTCTATTGTATAAGTCGTTTATTATTATTTGCGAAGAACTTTTCGAAATGTGGCCAGGGTAAATACAATTTGATTTATTTCAAATATGTAAGTTAATAAAGCTAATTTTATATAAAAACCCATTGAAATTTTTAAAAATCCAGACACTCTTAGAAGTATTCTTTAGCATAAAGCATTAAACCTCAATTCTGAAAATGATGAAGATCTTTGTATTTTTCTTGATTGCTGCTGCTGGTCTGATTTATATCTCCTCGGCCGCTAACATTGGTAAGACGCAATCATTCGTACGATGTTAAATAAATTATTTTTTAATGTTATTTTATCCTCTACAGATATATGTCAATTGGAACATTCTGCTGATGGTTTTAATGGAACAGCTTGTTTGGCCTATTTTCCATCTTATTCCTACAATGCCGAGACTGATGAGTGTGTACAATTTATTTATGGAGGATGTGGCGGAAATGCAAATCGTTTCGATACCTTGGAAGAATGTACCGGAACTTGTAAAAGATGAAGTATTTAATATAAATTTCTATAAATAATATTTTTGGAATATTTGGTTATTAAATGGATAATAAATTATTAAAAAGGACTATGTCTATCCAATACTAAAAAATAAGAAGTAAGCAAAGACCCTACTATACCATACAACACTATATGTCCAATGGTCTTTCAAAATTCTAGACTTCTGGCATGTCCTTAACTTCATGCAAAATTCCATGTCGATTGGTGTTTAATTGTGACCTGTAGAGCAGGAAATTCAGCAAATTTTGAATATAATACCCCCCAAAAAAGTGTTGTAAGGTGAGAAAAATATTGCAAAATGTACAATTCAATATTGTAAGAGAAATTGAAAAAATCTCATGCGATAAAAAATATGACAAAAAATATTAATTTTTTAATGGGCATATTTTATGGGAGTTTCTTAGATTTTATCCTTTATGGCAAAATGCCAAAAACAATAGGTTTCTATTCTGAACCTATCCCCACCTCCATGCAAAATTTCGTAGCGATCGGCCCATAATTGCGACCTGTGGCGTAATTAAGAATTAACATGTGCGGACATACATAGGACGATAGACTCAGCTAGGCGAGATTGGAAGATCCACATTCCTATGTGCAAGACCAATATTTCTAGGTGTTACATAGTTTTTGGTCCAATCAAATCAATCAAACCTCCGCCGATTTCTATTTACTTCAATATTAAGTATGACTTCCAAATATTGGTACATATTATTTTTATACCCTCAGCCATATGACTAGAGAGGGTATATATCATGTGATACGTCCCCCCATCGAGATAACAGTTTTAGAATCCAGGTCTCTTTGAATCAAATCCGTTTCAGGACATTTGGAGTCGATCTAGCGATGTCCGTCCGTCCGTCTGTCTGGCTCTCGAAGGGAGTATCCGATTTGGTCCAAACTTGGTACATCGTAACCTTATTATCAAACTTAGATCGAGTTCGGAGATGGACAATATCGGTCTACACTTTCTGGTACATCCCCCATAACAGATAAGTTCGAAATTTTCAAAAAAAAAGCTCCTAATATTTGCATCAAAGTTAGAGCATCTGCAGAAATGGATAATATCGATCCACTCCATCAAGTACCTCCCCCTAAAAGGGTCAACATTTTGAATAATTATAACTCTTAAAAATGTGTTGTTATACTCCGATTGCCTTCAAATTACACACATCACAATATTTATATCAACTCAAGGTCTGGTGTGAAGATGAAATATATCGGTCCACTCCTTTTTGTACCTCCCCCACGCAGGGTAAACATTTTTTTATCCATGAAGCTCATCAAAAGCGAAGTTATCATCCAATTCAATTCAGACTTGACCCATCTAAATATTTTTATCGACACAATATCTGTTATAAAGATCGGAACATTCCTTCTAGTACCTCCCGTGGTCAAAGTTTAAAATATTCTAAAGGATTATAAAATCCGAAATAAGCATACGGTTCCCTTCATATGCCACATATACCATTATGGGATATATCGGTCCACTCCTTCTAGTACCTCTCCCAGAAAGAGTCAACATTTTGAATATTCATGAAGCTCATAAAATGGCGATATTAACATCCGTTTCCATGGCACATCTCTATATTTTAATCAACACAAGATCTGCTATTAGATGGTAGAGATCAAACCATTTCTTCTGATTCCTCCCCCACATAGGGTTCATATTTTGCAAAACTAAACGCTCAAGGAAGGCAAAATAAGTATGCAACTCTCTTCAAATTTCATACACACACAAACATTTTAGCTAATACAAGATCTGTTGTGAAGATGATATATATCTGAGAATCCCTTCAGGTACCTCCCATAAAGGGTCCCAATTTTCAATACGTTTATCTGTCATAACTTGCGAAACAAGTCAGTAATTCTTTACAGCTTGCTATATATAAATATTTCTCTCAACCAGAAATCCGAGATGAATATGAAATTTATGATTTCGCATAAGATTGGATAAAAATGTTCGATTTTCTTGTAATTTTGCCCATACCAATGTTATTATCTGTATTAGAGGAAGTATGAAAATGGAACACTTAGGTCGACTATATTTTGTACCGCACGCACATTTTAAGGTTTTCTAAAAATTATCACATATCTCATATAAAGTGAAGCATGTAGTCGATATAGTACAAAACTGGCACGTCGCAATATTTTTATCATATTTATTGAGATTCGATACGAAGTGGCCGATATTGGCCCATTCCGCCGGAGAGTATTCCATAGACGGTCAACAATTTGAATAATAACAATAGATGTCAAAATATATTTAAATAATCGAAAATTGGCTGAGGGTATACATCTGTCGGCTAAACTGACTGATACGTTTTAACTTTTTTTATAATAATTAGATATCTCCACGTGTGAGTCATTGTATCAAAAACTGTTTGGACTGATTAATAAAATTAATTTGCTTTCCAGTTCTAATATCTTGTTTTAATAGTTAACAAAAAGTGACTCAGCGTTTCGCACATTAATTCGGTATTTTTGGCATTGTGATTTGGAATGGCACGGCCACCTTTTGCAAAAAACTTAATTTTTTGATTCATTTTGAAAATGTGCTTGTAAAAAAATTTTAAGATCTGAAAATAAATATTTTCAATTATTGTAAAAACTTCATAAAGGATGTCCTTCCTTAAAATTGTTCATCCAAAAATGTTGACGACTTTTTTGTTAAAAAAATATAATTAATTCGATTTGTGTTAACATTAATGATGGCAATAAAACACATTTGTGCAGCGTTTTCATTTCAAAATTAATTGTTTGCCACAATTAAGGACAATATTGTCACCCAAGACCACTTGTCACCCCTGAGCACTTCGACTGACACGGTCTGCAAAGTGTGTGACAAGCAGACAATTCAATGACACTTTGGGCTTTAAAAATATTCGATACGCTCTGTGATGGCACTTTCATAAAGTCTATCACCGTATATCACTGCTACCCATCATTAGCAGTGAAGTAGAACGGGCGAGTGAAAACATTTATACGAGGCGTGTGTCAAAGTTCAGGCAAGTTTTATTTTTTTAAATACAATTTCGAAACCATTGTCCGAATTTTGCATCAATCTTCGTGTTTTCCAATTGTGAAGGGCCACGTGACTTGACACATTCTTCGAACTGTGCCCACTATTCGCAAGGCGTGTGTCTTTCTCGATGTGGTTATTTCAATTGTTACTATTTTCCGTTGTGCGATTAGACAATGACGACGGCGAGGCCTGAACAAGTGATTTTTAAACTTTCTACGGTTTTAGATTCTTGGATTCCCACAGTGGAGAGTAGAAATTGTGTGTGTGTGTGCACAAAAAAAAATAATCCTTAAAATTGATATCTGTCCATTTGGGAGGAAAAAAAAGTTTGTCAAGTCACGTGGCTTTTAGTGGTTTAACACGCACTCAATACCCATGCACGACTGCCTTGTCTCCCCGCCTTAGCGTGGGCTGATGTTACTCGTAATGGATTCTTTTGTACAACTGTCGTCGACATTTTAATGTTTTTCAATTTATCAGTTTTCGCAACACATGTACAAGGTGTGGATCTCTGTTCGATATGTAAAATGTTTATGACTTCATTTTACATTTGGCAATGTTTGACCTTTAAATCATTGCAAATAACTGATTTTACAGATTAATGGATGAACCCCCAAAGATAAGAATGTGAGAAAGAACCCTTTTTTCCTCTCCGAAAGTTGGCAAAGAGTTTGTGCAAATAATGGCAAATAGACTTGTATTTTAGTTGTTAGCGAATCGTTTTCGCACGCTCTAAGTCACATAAATAAATTATTGAAGTTTAACATTAAAAAATCGATTTATGTGAATGTCTCCCAAAAGAATATCTGTGAGGCAGTTAAGTTATTTTATTTTTCTTTCAAATGGTCGTCACAATTCGCTATTGTACTCCTTCACCCCATACCAAATTTAGTACTATTTAATATATTTCATTTCGTAGTTATAGTAACGAGCGATGGTACGAGACATAAAAGATTTATTCACATTTAAATGCTGGAGTGCTTTAACGATAGCCACTTGTGGTTTTCCAGCCAAATATAAAGAAATCACACTATCACGCTGGAGTTGCATCACGAACAACCTTTTTTCTCGAAAATTCTCACCAAAATGCTTTTGTACGGTTTATAACAATATAATGAGCTCTCACTGGAATAATTTTAACAGCTGTCGGACGATTGACTTAGAAATGACAGCAGTCTGAATTTGATTGCAGTTTTTTCATCTCACCCTGTAGTCTAAAATTGTAATTTCGAAGAGGCACGTCTTGGCCGTAGCCATTAGGCTGAGGATATAAAGATCGTTCCATTACAGCGGTGTAACCTTTGTGTTCTCTTCTTATATCTCCCTTACACACTGAAGGTGACAACATATAAAATTTAAAATTCCGAACTCATTCCCATCGCTTAAATACAATGTTGTACTATTTGGTACGTTTCTACTACTTTTCGCACTCTTAAACACGAATTTCCAAAAATCCCGACTAATCTCACCTCTTAACACCTTTAGTGAATATGAGTTCATCAGCCTGACTATAACGTTTATAGAAACCTTTTAAGTTTGTGGTCACAAGGTCTGTCAAACATATATGACATCCTACGGTTGTGCATGATAATCCGTGGGAGGTTTTCTGTTTTTTTACCCTCCGCCATAGTATGGATGGTATATAAAGTTTGTCATTGCATTTATAACACCATGAAGTATAAATTTTAGACTCCGCTCAGTGTATGCATATTCATGATAAGCATAAGATTTTATGGCGATTTAGCGATACCCGTCAGTCCGTCTGTCTATATGTCTGTGGGAAACACTCTAGTTTTCGAAAGAAATGAAGTGGGTTGATAACATTTTACTCAGATGTGTTTTAGGTCTGCAGGACTTTTGGTATTGAAAATGGGCTATATAGGTTCACGTTTTGCTATATTCCCTAACTGATATGACTGACAGATTTAAGGTTTTTTTTTTGATTTTGTAAATTGGCAGTTTGTGTGTGGTCTAAATTTAGTCTTCATATAACTGTACCTCCAGATATTTGGTATTTTGTAAATCCAGATATTCGGTATTAATGCCATACTTTTGACCGGAATTGTTTCAAATTTGGTATTTAGAGTTCGTAATAGGTAATATCTCCTATGACAAAAAAAATGCTCCTACAGATCCACTTCTTCATATAGCCCACATATGACGGTACCTCCTTATATTCGGTACTTTGATGATTAAATCTATATTTTCCATCGAAATTGTCTTAAACTTGGTATCTGTCGTTCGTAATGGGCGCCTCATTTTCTAGCAGATAACATACTTTAGGGGTCCACGCTTTCGTAGAACCCTATACAACGCCACCTTCCAA